GCGATCTGGCTTGATGACTCGCACTCTCTATCGCCCACGCTGTGTTGCGCTTGCCGCTCTGCTGCCGTGTTCTCGCAATTGTGGCAGCCATCGCCCGCGCAATTTCAAAAAAAGCTGAAAAGAAGCCGATCTCTCTCTTTTTTTTTTTTTTTCTTTCCCTTCTTTTTCCTTCGCTCTTTCCTCGCCTTCGCTGTTGTTCCTGTCATGCTGGTGCTGCAGTCCGTCGTCTCCTTCATTCAACCGGCCATTCGTCTGATGCCTTGGCACTGCATCGAGTCCATCACTCACTTGTTCTCTCTCTATATGTTTTTTTTTTCTTCCTTTTTTTTTTTTTTTCCTTCTTTTGCCCTTTGCTCACAGAGAACAGACAGCTCTTGGCTCGACAACCACTCACGACACGGCGCTTTATATTTCGTACTACCGAAGTTGCACAACGCTCAAAAACAAGGTTTTTCTCTGCTAAAAAGACATCTGACCGTCAAGTTTAGCCTTTCCCAAGCCTCAAGTTACACACTTTTGTGTTCATTCAGACGCCAACACGATCTCGTTGAACAAAAGCCGATTCATTGATTCTAACACTGCTACCATGAACCCGACCAACCCCGCTCATCAAGGCGCTGCGCCGCAACAGCAGCAGCCGCAACAACAACAGCACGCACCCTTTGTGCCCCAGCACATGCCCGCTGGTCAGCCAGTACGCTTCTACGGCCAGCCACCACAACAGTTCTACCAACAAGGGTTTCCCCCGAACTTTCCCCCGTACGTCATGGGCCCCAACGGCATGCCGATGATGGCGCAGCCCGGCTTTGCCCCTCCGTACATGATGGGCCCTGGCGGCGTGCCAATGGCCGTTCCGCAACACCCCGTGCAACAACAGCAGATGCAACAGCCGCCGCAGCAACAGCAGCCGCAAGCACAGCCTCAAAAGCAGGCTGCCGCTGCCCCTGCTCCTGCACCTGCCGCTGCGCAGCCTGCCGCCCCTGTTGCCGCCCCTGCATCCACTGCCGCTGCTCCGGCTCCTACCACCGCTGCTGCTGCCGCTGCTGCACCTGCACCTGCGCCAACGGCCGCCGCCGTCGTTGCTGCCACCCCTAGCCCGGCCGCCTCCGCAGGATCATCCTCGTCGGCGTCGTCGTTGTCGTCGTCCCCTGCTGCAGGCTCGTCTGCTGACTGGAAGGTCGGCCTCGTCGCCCCCGTCAAGGACCTGCGTCCCAAGACGGAGGACGTTACTAACACCAAGGGAAACACGTTTGAGGACTACCACTTGAAGCGCGAGCTTTTGATGGGCATTTTCGAGAAGGGCTACGAAAACCCTTCCCCGATTCAGGAAGAGAGCATCCCCGTCGCATTGGCAGGACGCCACGTCCTCGCTCGTGCCAAGAACGGCACCGGCAAGACCGCTGCCTACCTCATCCCATTGCTCGAAATGATTGACACGGGCAAGCCGCACATCCAGGCGGTTGTGCTCGTCCCGACGCGCGAGCTGGCCCTGCAAACATCACAACTATGCAAGGAGCTCGGCAAGCACATGGGCGTCAAGGTGATGGTCACCACTGGTGGTACCAGCTTGAAGGACGACATCATCCGCCTGCAGGAAACCGTGCACGTCCTCGTCGCGACGCCTGGCCGCGCGGTCGATCTCGCGCAAAAGGGCGTGGCAAACGTGACACAAGCCCGCGTTGTCGTCTTTGACGAGGCTGACAAGCTGCTGTCGCCTGAATTTTTGCCAGTTGCCGAGCAGATGCTTGCTCTGCTCCCTCCCACGCGCCAAGTGATGCTGTACTCGGCCACCTTCCCCGTGTCCGTCAAGGACTTTAGCGACCGTTACCTGAAGAACGCGTACGAAATCAACCTGATGGAGGAGCTGACCTTGAAGGGTATCACGCAGTACTATGCTTTTGTCGAGGAGCGCCAGAAGGTGCACTGCCTCAACACGCTCTTCTCCAAGCTCCAAATCAACCAAAGTATCATCTTCTGCAACTCTGTGCAGCGCGTCGAGCTGCTCGCGCGGAAAATCACCGAGCTTGGCTACTCTTGCTTTTACATTCACGCCAAGATGCTTCAATCACACCGCAACCGCGTCTTCCACGACTTCCGCCGTGGCGCATGCCGCAACTTGGTGTGCTCGGACTTGTTCACGCGCGGTATCGACATCCAGGCCGTGAATGTGGTTATTAACTTTGATTTCCCCAAGAATGCCGAAACGTACCTGCATCGCATTGGTCGCTCGGGTCGCTACGGCCACCTTGGTCTTGCCATCAACCTCATCACCTACGACGATCGCATGAACCTTCTGCGCATCGAGCAAGAGCTCGGCGCCGAGATCAAGCCCATTCCTGCCGTTGTCGACAAGTCCCTCTATGTTGCCAGCGAAGCCCCTGCCCCTGCTCAGTAGATTGGATTTACGTTTTGATTCCGGTCTGATTTGGTTTTTTTTTCTTTCTTCTTGTTCTTGTTCTTTTCATCATTTTTTTTTTTTTTTTTTCCCCCGCTTCTTCTCACCAACCCGCCCGCCCGCCCAATCCACCCTCCCTACCCCTCCGCCTCTTTTTTTTCCTTGACTGTCCTTGTCCTTTTTCGTTTGGTGGTTTTCCCCTTGGGGTCTTTTCTTGGGGGTGTTGGTTGGATTTGTTGGGCATGGGCCGGTGTAATGGCGGGAATTCCACGAACGGACGTTCGGTTTCCTTCCTGTCACCTGAACCAAAGGGGAAGGGAACAGAGTTAAAAAAAGAATACCAGCAAAACTAAGAGTTCGTCGGAAAGTCATCAGCCGTGCGAAGGAAGGGGGGGAGGTACATCAACGCGCATTTTGGTGAAAAAGAAAAACCCCACGATGAAGCGGGAAGGCAAAAAAAAGGGGAAAACGGAAACAAAAGTGGGAAAAAATTAACTATAGGGAGAAACAAGGAAAAAGGACTGGCAACGGTAAAAGAGGTAAGAGGGGAGAAAGAAATTAAAA